GGCGACCCTGCTCCTCAACGCCCGCCGCTCTGTCCGCAGCCCCTCCGGCCATTGTTACGAGGCTGCAGGACGCCGCAGCACGAGCGGTCTGCTCCGGGGCCTGGCCCTCCAGAAGTCCCTCTCCGCAGGGCTCGGGCTCAGAGAGGGTTTTGGGCCGCGAGGTGGGCGCGGAGCTGAGAACGCCCTCCGACCCCGCCCGGGCGTCGAGGTCACCCTGCAAGCTCAGATAGGGGTGGGGCCCTCGGGCGGATAAGAATGGAAGGGCGGGTTCGCCGAGCGCGCAGCTCGGGCGAGGCGGGGCCCCTGCTGTCCCCGCGGGCTCCCGGGTGCCAGCCGCCTCTAGGAGACCGACCACCTTTCCTTCCTGGTGGGGTCGACGCCATCGCGCGTGGACTTGAGGCACTCGCGCCCTCTGGCGGCCGCATTGTGCCTCGCACCTCTCGGCATCTGCGTGGTCCTACCTGCGCTAGGCAGGGCCGCCTGTTCCGTTGTGTGAGGACCGCTTGAGTCCGCGAGGTTCCGGCAACCAACCAGGCGCTGGCCATATACTAACCACGGGCCCGACAAACTGGCTGGGGAAGGGCAGCGCGAACCTGGAGAGCTGGGATGACCCTTGACGCAGCCCTCAGTACCCTCCTAGTCCCTTTCTCTGTTTTTGTTTCTTCCCCTCCCTCTCTCCACTGTGTGAGAGAACAAAGTAATATCCTTCATCCCCAAACTCCAGACTGTCCTAGAAAACTCATAACTGGTCAGCCCTTGGTCTTAAGGCGATGGTGAGATCAGGGAACTGGGTAGACTTTGAGATTCACAGCCAGTTAACACAATCAGAAAGATAACATCTATGACAAAAAGGGGATGAGAGACTCATCGCTTGCGGAAAGAAGCTGCCCTCAGTTCAGCTTGTTTTCTTTCTCTCTTCTGCATCCTTGTCCAACACCATTTCCTGAGGGTAATGGGCACAATGGCAGACCAGTGACCTACCGGGTCATTGAGTACCATTAATCTTTCATTGGAGGGGGGACTAGGCAAACCCAGAAGTCACTTTACTTCTGTCTAGACCTCCCCTTCCCTCCCTTCTTGACCTACCTACATTCTTACCTATATCCTTAAGCGAGTAGCCAGCATTCTCAGAGAAATGGAAGGATATCCTAGTCAAGATTTATTTCTTAAGGATTTTGAAAAGATTCCATAGCTCTTTTTAAAATTAAAAAAGATATATATTTCCAGCCTTTCTGAGATATTACTGACATATAACTCATGTAAGTGTGAGGTGTACAATGTGATTATTATGTACATCCATATCTTTTACCTGCTATTTAAGGGAGGGCAGGTTCTGTATGTCTTGGTTTCCCAAAGTAGTTTCAATATTTTTATAATTTAATTTTTTTCAATTAAGGCAATTAATTAAATGTATAATTACACATAATTTGCTTTTTGTGCCTTTAATTATTTAGCATAAATCATCTATAACCATATCATGATGAGTTATTAAATTTAGGACTCAAATCCATAATAATTATATGCAAATTACTATGTAATTAAATTAAACACAACCATGTACTATCTATATACAGAGAAAGTTTTGGTCCTAATTTCCAATTCTTTCTGTGGAACTGATGAAAACCCTTAGTGTATCTGGTACAGATTTCTATTCTTCCATCTTTTGTTCATCTTTAATGTCTCCTGCAATGTTCATGCTTTTTGTCAGGTTGTTACTTCATTATCTTGATTTCTTATCAGTGATTACAGAACAATATCAGTCTTTGTGGCAATTTTTAATATTTTAAATGGCTTCATTAACTTTTCCTAAAATATTCCACATGTGCCTGCAATTAGAAGTAGTTTCTTTGTTTTTGCCCTTCTCCTCTCTGCCTTCTAATTTAGGTGCTCTAGTATAATTTATTCTGTCAGTGCTGGACTGATGGGCCAGAGGTTTTATACATGTTGTCTTTTTTGTAGAGTAACTCTTCGATTGGGATTTGTAGTGAACATGCTGATCTTTTCTCCCTTTTCCTCCTTAACACAACTTGGATTTTGTTCAAAAATCTAGCTGCCCCACACACCCATTTGCCACAGGGGTGGCCAGGTTGGGTGGAATCCATCTGAGGTTATCCTTTTCACCTGGTCAGTGGCTGACTTGGAATGGATGTGTGACCCTGGACTATGGACATAAAGGACAGTCTGTTGAGGAGCTTCTGGGAAGTTTCCTTACACTTCATGAGAATGCGTATGAATGAACACTTTCTCTTTATTCTCTGGAGGTTTCTGAGTGTGACATCTATGACTGCTTGAGCTACCTTTAACCCTTAGGACCAGTGATGACTTAGGATAGCACAGTGGTGAGAGGCAAAGAATCTGGCTCTTTGATGACAGAATTGAGCCTCTGAACATACCAAATTTATTCTGTTTGAACTTAAAGGACTGCCCATTTAAAACAAACAGATACAGGTCAACATATATGAACTCCATGGTAACCACAAATCAAAAACCTATGATAGACACAGAAATAAGAGAGAAAGGAACACAAACATACCACTAAGGAAAATCATCAAACTGCAAGAGAAGAAACTGAAAGAAGAAGAAAAGAACAGGGAAGACCTACAAAACAACTGGAAAAGAAGTAAGGAAATGGCAGTAAGTACATACCTATCAAAAGTTACCTTAAATGTCAATGGACTGGGAAGGGATAAATTGGGAATTTGGGATTAACAGATAAACACTACTATATGTAAAACAGATAAACAATAAAGACCTACTGTATAGCACAGGGAACTGTATTCAGTGAAACTAGAAATCAATTACAGTAAGAAAAACGGGAAAAGCACAGGCCCATGGAGTCTAAGCAGCATGCACTAAAAAGCCAATGGGTCAATGAAGAAATCTAGGAATAAATCAGAAAATATCTTGAGACAAATGAAAATGGAAACACACTACTCTAAAATCTGTGGGATGCAGCAAAAACAATTTTAGGAGAGACATTTATAGCAATACAGGCCTACTTCAAGAAACAAGAAAAATCTGAAATAAACAACCATCAAATAAACATTCCATCTAAAGGAACTAGAAAAAGAAGAACAAAGTCCAAAGTCAGCAGAAAGAAGAATGAAGATCAGAGAGAAAAATAAATAAAATAGAGACCAAAAAAACAAAACAAAACAAAACCCCCAAACCAAAACCAAACCCTAGAAAAAAAAGAGAAGACCCAAATAAAATAAGATATGCAAGAAGAGAAATTACAACTGATATCACAGAGATACAAAAATATCATAAGAGAATCCTATGAAAAGTTATATCCCAACAAATTGGAAAACCTAGAAGAAATGGACAAATTTTTATTAACATACAACTTTCCATGACTGAATCAGGAAGAAACATACAATCTGAGCAGACCAAACACTAGTAGCAAAATTGAATTTGTAATAAAAAAAAAAATCTCCCAGCAAATAAAAGTCCAGGATCAGATGGCTTCATAGGGGAATTCTACCAAACATATAAGAGAGCTAATATCCATGCTCCTCAAACTATTCAAAAAAATTGAAGAGAATCAAACACTCCCAAATTCATTCTATGAGGCCACCTTTACCTTGATACCAAAACCAGACAAAGACACTAGAAAAAAAACAAATTTTCAGGTCAATATCTCTGATGAATATAGATGCAAAAAATCCTCAATAAAATATTAGCAAATTGGATTCAACAATATATAGAAAGGATCATACACCATGATCAAGTGGGAATTATTTCAGGGATGCAAGGATGACTTAATATTAAAAAAAGGATCAGTGTGATACACCACATTAACAAAAGGAAGGATAAAAATCACATCATCTCAATAGATGTAGTAAATGCATTTGACAATATTAACATATCAACATCCATGATTGTAAACTCTAATCAAAGTTTGTATACAGGGAATATATCTCAACATAACCTAAGGCCATTTATGACAAACCCACAGCTAACCTCATACTCGATGGTGAAAAGCTGAAAGCTTTTCCTCCAAAATTGGTAACAAGATAAGGAAGCCCACTCTTGCCATTTCTATTTAATATAGCATTGGAAGTTTTAGCCACAGCAATCAGACATAGAAAATAAATTAAAGGCATCCAAATTGGAAGGGAACAAGTAAAATTATCCCTATTTGCAGAAGACATGATACTACATATAGAAACCCCTAAAGTCTCCATCAAACAGCTACTAGAACAAATAAATTCAGTACAGTTGCAGGATACAGGATAATATACAGAAATCTGTTGCTTTTCTATCCACTAATAATGAACTATCAGAAAGGGAATGCAAAAAAATATATATATCCCATTAAAAATGGCATCAAAAAGAATAAAATACCCAGGAATAAACTTAAGCAAGGAGGTGAAAGATCTACACTCTGGAAACTATAAAACACTGATGAAGGAAATTGATGATACAAAGAAATGGAAAGATATCCTGTGTTCTTGAATTGGAAGAATTCATATTGTTAAACTGTCCATTCTACCCAAACCAATCTACAGATTTAATGCAATTCCTATCAAAATACCTATGACATTTTTTCACAGAACCAGAACAAATAATCCTAAAATTTGTATAGAATCACAGACACCACCAATTGCCAAAGCAATCTTGAGACAAAGATCAAAGCTGGAGTAATCATGCTCCCTGATTTTAGCCCATACTATGAAGCTACAGTAATCAAAACTGCATGATGTGATGCTGGCACAAAAACAGACACATAGATCAATGGAACAGAAAAGAGAGCCCAGAAATAAACTCACACAACTATGGTCAACTAATCTATGACAAAGAGTGGTGCTGGGAAACTGGACAGCTACATGTAAGAGAATGGGATTAGAACATTTCCTTACACCATGTACAAAAATAAACTCAAAATGGATTAAAGACCTAAAGAAGACCTAAAAATACAATACTCCTAGAACAGAACATAGGCAGAACACTCCTTGATATAAATCACAGCAA